ATGGGAGGATCGCTTGACCATAGGAGGTCAAGGCTGCAACAAGCCATGATCACCACCACTGCATTCCAGCCTGGGCAACAGAGCAAGACCTTGTTTCAAAAGAAAAAAAAAATAGGTCAGGCACGGTGTGTCACACCTGTAATCCCAAAACTGTGGGAGGCTAAAGAAGGCAGATCACCTGAGGTCAGGAGTTCAAGACCAGCCTGGCCAACATGGTAAAACCCAGTCTCTACTAAAAATACAAAAATCAGCCCAAGCGTGGTAGAGAATCACTTGAACCTGGGAGGCAGAGGTTATAGTGAGCCAAGATCATGTCACTGCACTCCAGCCTGGGTGACAGAGCGAGACTTTGTCTCTAAATAAATAAATCCATGAATGAATGAAAAGGAGACAGCTCCTCCTTGTAAAAATAAAATAACCCTAATGTAAAAAAGATTAAGGACAACAGAAAATCACTGGGGCACAAGAATGTTTTTTGTCAAAGTAATTGCTAAAGGAAAGATTCACGAGTGAACATGAAATTAATCCACAAAAGTCTGAAGAAAGACAGAATACTAGGTGCCTCATTTCAAAGTATTTCCACAAAATATTTATCATCAACAAAGGAAAAAACAGTAACTTTACAGTGCAGATACTTGGCAGCTAGTATCAGCCAAGTGATCAAGGTTAACATCACCAAAAATAAGATATCAATATTATATTGCCTGATATGGTATCCCGAGAAGGGCACATAACTTGAGGTATTCTTGCCAAAAATGCACAATCGCCTTCTAATCATGGTAAAACATCAGCCATACCCCAACTGAGAAAGAGTCTACAGAACACCTGACCAGTACTCTTCAAAACTGTCACGTCGTGAAAGACAATGAAAAACTAAGAAACTATAACAGAGTAGAATGACATAACAATTAAATGTGATTTGGGATTGTATCTAGGAACAGAAGATGTTGATTAGGTGAAAGACTGGTGAAAATGAATACAGTCTGTAGTTACTACTACTGTACCAATGTTGATTTCATGGTTTTGATCATTGTATCAGGGTGATGTAAGATTTAATATTAGTATAAACTAAGATGAAGACTATATGTACTATTTTCATAATTTTTATCTAAATAAACATTACTATAAAATATAAAGTTTTTAGGCCAGGCACAGTGGCTCACACCTAGAATCCCAACACTTTGGGAGGCCAAGGCGGGAGGATCACAAGGTCAGGAGTTCAAGACCAGAGTGGAGAACGTGGTGAAATCCCGTCTCTACTAAAAATACAAAAACTAGCCAGGCATGATGGTACATGCCTGTAATCCCAGCTACTCAGGAGGCTGAAGTAGGAGAATTGCTTGAACCCAGAAGGCGGAGGTTGCAGTGAGCCAAGATTGTACCACTGCACTCCAGCCTGGGTGACAAAGCAAGAATCTGTCTCAAAAAAAAAAGAAGTTTTAAAAATCTTAGGAGACATAAAAGTCAAAAGCAATACATGGGCCTTGTCTGAATATTAATAATTTGAATATGGGCTGGATATTATTTTATATTAAAGAATTATCAATTTTTTAGAGTTATTATGTTAAACATTCATCAGAGATGCATCTTAAAGTATTTCTAGGTGATATTATACATCTGTGATTTGCTTTAAAATACTTCAGAAAAAAGCAGCAAGAGAAAGTCAGATATAGACTGACAAAATGTTGATAATTACTGAAGCTAGGTAGTGGGTGCCAAATGTTTACCTCCATTTATTGAGAGGGAGAATTTTACTGTTTGATTATACAACTCTGAAAAAGTTGGGGTTTACATATACACATGTATGTGTGTGATCTTTTTATGGGTTTTCCCCCCTTATGGAGGGAGGACTGCAAACAACATTACTTTCTTAAGACTTAAAAACAATGTTTTTTAAGCCAGACACAACAGCTCACACCTGTCAATCCCAACGCTTGGGGAAGCTGATACAGGAATCGATACAATGACGGTTGAACAACAGTGTGAATATGCCAGTATTCATAAGGCCCTCTCTCAAAATAAGAGAATATGACTTTTATGTCTCCTAAGATTTTTTTTAAACTTTTTTTTTTGAGACAGATTCTTGCTCTATCACCCAGGCTAGAGCGCAGTGGCGCAATCTCAGCTCACTGCAACCTGGGCTTGAGCCCATGAGTTTGTTTGCGACCAGCCCAGGGAACACGGCAAGGCCTGGTCTCTACAAAAATAGAAACAAAAAATTAGCCAGGTATTGTGGCGTACACCTGTAGTACCAGCTAATCAAGACCCTCTCACAAAATAAAAAATTAAAAAATTATATTAAGGCTAAATACACATAAGATGAAAGTTACCATAACCATTTGTGAGTTTACATATTTGTGGCATTAGGCATATTCACACTGTTGTTCAACCATCACTAACATCCATCTCCAAAACATGATAAAATTTTTTTTTATTTATTTATTTTGGAAAGGAGTCTTGCTCTGTCACCCAGGTTGGAGTGCAGTGGTGTGATCTTGACTCACTGCAACCTCGTCTCCCAGGTTCAAGCGATTCTTCTGCTTCAGCCTCCCAAGTAGCTGGGGCTACAGACTTGCGCCACATGTCCAGCTAATTTTTGTAATTTTAGTAGAGAAAGGGTTTCACCATATTGGCCAGGCTAGTCTCCCAAAGTGGTGGCATTACAGGCATGAGCCACCGTGCCCAGCCAATAAAATTTTTTTTAATTCAAAATAATACCCAGGTGTGATGGCTCATGCCTGTAATCCCAGCACTTTGGGAGGCCAAGACGGGCAGATCACTTGAGGTCAGGAGTCGGAGACCAGCCTGGTCAATATAGTGAAACCCTGTCTCTACCAAAAATATAAAAAATGAGCCAGGTGTGGTGGTGTGTACATGTAAACTCGGCTATTCGGGAGGCTAAGGCAGGAGAATCACTTGAAAACAGGAGGTGGAAGTTGCAGTGAGACGAGATCGTACCACTGCACTCCCGTCTGGGTGACAGCAAGACTCTGTCTCAAAAATAATAATAATTATTATTACTATTATTTAAATTCTAGTCATTTCTTTATTGACTAGTTAATACATTCACATAGTTAGAACTTTAAAAAGATACATAGAAGGACAGAAAGAGAAAAGACTCCTCCTAACTCTGTCTCCAGCTTCCCAGCTCCTTTCAAGAAGCAGCTAATCTAGGCCAGGTGTAGTGTGGCTCATGCCTGTAATCCCAGCACTTTGGGAGGCTAAAGCAGGCAGATCACCTGAGGGAAGGAATTCGAAATCAGCCTAGCCAACATGGCAAAACCCCATCCCTACTAAAAATACAAAAATTAGCTGGGCATGGTGGCATGCATCTACAGTCCCAGCTACTACGGAGGCTGAGGCAGGACAGTCACTTGAACTTGGGAGGCAGAGGTTGCCATTAGCTGAGATCATGCCACAGCACTCCAGCCTGAGCAACAGAGTTAGACTCCACCTCAAACACAGAAACCAAACCAAACCAAACTAAAACAAAACAAAACAAAACAAAACAAAACAAAACAAAACAAAACAAAACAAAACAAAACAAGCAAGACAAATGCAGCTAATCTTAATTTGTCCAGGATTTTGATACACTTACCCAAATTCTGCATACACACACACATATAAACAAACATACACCTTTTTAAGGCAACTGAGAGCCTTAAAAATGTTTACTTAAAAATATGTATCTCTAAATATCTACTTACTCTAACCCTCTTCCTTCAAAAGCCCACATAACACTCCAGTGAAGCTTTCCCAGACCACCAAGGTTAACAGTGGCCTCCTCCTCCTCTTATAAATCAGCTCTGATTTGTCATTACAGAATTGGCTCTTTTCATATGACACCAAGACTTCAGGCAACTTGTAAAAGGGGATCATGCCATATGACACAGTACCTTGTGCCTAATAAACACTTGCTAAACATTGATCTAAAGAAAAGGAACACTGGAAAACAAAACTAAAGACCAATGACATAGTTTTTGGACATAAAACACATTGGGAACAAACAGTTTCTCTTCAAAGGGGTTCACCCCCTTGTCCTTTATTTTATTTTATAAGTAATCATTCCTACCTTTAACATGCCCAGGCATGCCTCCATTCACCAAGCTTGTAGCCAACTCACACCCCCTTACTTTAAGTTGGTAGGTACAAGCAATAAACTTCCTGGTTCTTTGTCCTATTCTAAATGCTAAATGTAACCAACAGAGATCAGTTTAGATTGTACTACAACCCCAATTAACGGGGAGAGCACACAGAAACAGGGATAGTTTTTAGGAATAAAATCCCTGCTTTCCTTTGTTGGGTGTGCTCTTGCCACTACTCTGTATGCTAGAAGCACCGCTCTGCAGAGGTAAATTCTCTTGCTCAGAAAACTTTTTGCCTGGGTGCTCATTTCCTTTGCAACTCAAAGCTCTTATTTCCAACAATTTGAGGGTTCGTCCAGTATCCCATTCTCCTCCAGGGAGGGGTCTCCAATCATCTCTCATAGACAATCAAGAAGAATAGCAAAGTCAAGCCATGTTAGGTAAGTCTGAAGCAGAAAGTATATAAATTCAAGAGGGGGAAAATTGTTGGGAACAGTTTCTCTTTAAAGGTTTTCACTCCCTTGTCCTTTGTTCTATTTTGTAAGTAATCTTTCCTGACTTTAACATGCCCAGGCATGCCTCCAACCACCGAGTTTGTAGCCAACCCATACCACCTAACTTTAAGTTGGTAGGTACAAACAATAAACTTCCTGGTTTTTTGTCCTATTCTAAATGCTAAAGCTAGCCTATTGGAATCAGTTAGATTATACAATCTGACCTCAATTAATGGTCCAACCCCAATTAACAGGGGGAGGATACAGAAACAGGGACAGCATTAGGAATAAAAACCCCTGCTTTCCTTTGTTGGGTGTGCTCTTGCCACTGCTCTGTATGCAAGAAGCACCCTTCTCCGGAAGTAAATTGCCTTGATAAGAAAACTTTTCGTCTGAGTGCTTGTTTCCTTTGCGAATCCAAGCTCTTATTTCCAAAAAATATGATTTCTCATTTGTTCTATTTTATTTGTGTATTTATTTGGTAGTTGGTTTATTACTATCCCAAAGATTGCTGTAAGCCAGTCTATCTATCTATGCACTATGCTTTGGGACTTTACAAAGTCAGATTATAAAATCATTGAGATTTTTGTTGAGATATGTAATTTTAATAAAAGTGATGTGATTAGGCAAAGAATCTAAAGCTGGGTCCCAGGGTCTTCCACATAACAGTGCATCTTCAAGAAAGTAGGTGTTCAAAGCAGCTGCATGATCCATAAATCTGGATCTTCCATCTTGGGAGGCTTACAATTCACATGATCATCTATTAACAATTCTGAGGCACTGTGAAAGGAGGAGCAGCAACATGGCAGCTTAGGGAGCTGGTGACCCTCTGGACGCTAAGTGTGTAGAGGACCTGTTCGTTCACTGTTATCAACCCAACTCAGGAGAAGCTGACACCTGTGCAAGTGCAATTCATGCAGCAGGTGCAGCTTGCCCAGTGGCAGAAGGCCCTACCACAGAAGTGGACCTGGAACATCATGACCAGCCTAGGCATCGGGGCCCTGGTATTAGCTATTTATGGATACACCTTCTACCCGATTTCCCAGGAGCGTTTCCTAGGTGAGCTAGAAGACAATGCCAAAGCTGCCTGAGCCCAAGCTCTGTAGAGGGCATCAGGATCCTAATCTGGATGAGCACTGGACATCTCCAACCTGCTGGTGCCCCTTCACGTGGTGAATGATGCCCCATGATCCTGTAGAAATTGAATCCTGCTCACAACATTGTTGGCCTTCCTATTAACCTTAGACCATGACTGAGCCCAGTAAACCAGAGACTTATCCATTTGGCCACTGTCAAAAGAACAGAAGTTTGCCCATCTCACACTTGCTGTGTACAGTGACTGAGCCCTCATAGTTTGTTTCCTTGTTTGAGAGGTGTGCATGTGACCTTGGGTTTTCCCAAAGTTTCTGACTTTGTGTTTTAGCCCCTTCACCTTTCCAGGGATGCAACTGTTATGGGATTAAGCGTGGTAGCTCTGTGCAGTGTTAGAGCCTAAAGTAGAATAGAGTCAAGTTGAGAATAATAAACTGAATCATCTCTCCTGGAAAAAAAAAAAAAAAAGATTGTAAAAGGTCAAGCTGTAAAGAACTTAGGTAATTATGGGCAGGCACAGTGGCTCATGCCTATAAATCTAGCACTCTGGGAGGCCGAGGAAGGCAGATCACTTGAGGCCAGGAATTCAAGACCAGCCTGGCTAACATGGCGAAACCACATCTCTACTAAAAAGACAAAAATTAGCCAAGTGTGGTAGCTCCTGCCTGTAGTCCCAGCTACTCAAGAGGCTGAGGCAGGAGAATCCCTTGAACCCAGGAGGTAGACGATGCAGTGAGCCGAAATCACACCACTGCACTCACTCCAACCTAGACTACAGAGCAAGGCTCTGTCTCGGAAAAAAAAAAAAAAAAAGAATTTATGTAATTAAGTACAGAATTTTCCAAACTTACTTAACTGCAACAATCTTATTTTTAAAAAGTTCTTAACATTTCAAAGAGTGTTCTAATGAATAGTTGAAAAGGAAGTAAAGGTCTCTAATGTACTCAATTCCTCACCATGCCTGGCTAATTGTTTTATATTTTTAGTAGAGATGGGGTTTCACCACATTGACCAGGTTGGTCTGGAACTCCTGAACTCCAGTGATCCACCCACCTCAAGCCTCCCAAAGTGCTGAGATTACAGGTATGAGCCACCACAACCGGACTTCTTTTTAAATATTTTTAATTGGAAAGTTGTATGCTACAGGTTTCCTTTCTTCTTACATCTCTTAGTTCAACTACTCTTTACAAATGGTCTACCAATACTTTTCATAATTGTTTTCAAATTTCTACTAATTTTTTGGTCAGGATGACTATACAGCTCTCTTTCCCCAAAACTGCCTCAGTTTATGTTCATATCCCAGAATAATTATTAGTAATGTTTACTTTCTCTCTCAAAAATGCCCCAGTTTGGCATGCTAATGGACACCCTATCTTTGGGCTGTTATTATAAATTCTTTTTATATTGCTTTACGTGGAACAACTTTTTTTTTTTTTTTACAGGGTCTCACTCTGTCGCCCAGTCTGCAGTGCTGCAATACGATCACAGCTCACTGCAGCCTCGACCTCCCAGGCTCAAGCGATTCTCCCACCTCAGCTTCCTGAGTAGGTAAGACTCATTTTTTATTTCTTGTAGAGACAGGGTTTTGCCACGTTGCCCAGGCTGGTGTGAACTCCTGGGTTCAAGTGATCCTGCCACCTCCCAAAGTGCTAGGATTACAGGCATGAGCCACCATGGCCAGCCCTGGAATAAGTTTTTCATTTAAAAAAAATTATCTTTTAGGCCAACTGACCGCACCATGGACAGCATGGTAACCTCCGTTTATTATTTTTTTCTTCTTCACTGTCCCAGTTGGAGGTAAGCTCTGTGACCTGCACGTACACTCCAGATGAGTTCCTGGAACTAGAAAGTCTGAAATAACTGGAAAACCACAAAAGGAGAAGAAATGATCAACCCCCACAGTGCCTAATTAACTTTGAGACATTCTTCTATTGTTCCTTAATTCCACCTCAACTGATTAAGGCAACTGGACTTTGTAACCAACCTTGGTCAACCTCGTGACTCCATACCCTACGACTCACTCCCAGCTTGCAAAAACTGCCTGAACTGTAACTTTCCACTGCCTACCCCAAACCTATAAAACCAACTCCTACCCTACCGCCCTGCACTGACTCTTTGTCAGACTCAGCCCACCCACACCCAGAGCACGAGTTTAACATTTGGTGCCAAAATCTGGGATGGGAACTCCTTTGGGAGACCAAACCCCCTGTCCCTGTTCTCCTTGTGCTCTCTCCGTGAAGAGACCTACCTATGACCTAGGCTCATCAGGCAGCCCACAGACCCACTCACCATCTTCACATCAGGTAAGCAGTTTGCGTTAACTCTTCCTTAGCCCTTCTCGCTACCTGTCATCTTCTCGCTACCTTCATCTCCTTTCAGTTTCATTTTCCTCTCCCTTTCAGCAGAGATAAGAAAGACAGGACTTTCTGTGAGGTTCATGACTGGAAAAAATCCTACATAGGTCATGGAACCAGGAAGACAGTCTTCCCTCAGTGACTGATCACTGTGGAGACATCTGCTCTGGTCATTCATTCACACTCGAGGGTGACGGATCAACGAGGGGGACACCCCCTTTAACTGATTCACCCCAGGTACAGACCAAGGTTTAGTCTGGGACACCTGCTAAGCTTCTTGGTCGCACACTTTTCCTGCCTCCACCACTCTTCTTAAACTATGGGCAACCTCCCGCCTGCCATTCCTCCCTCCTCTCCCTTAGCCTGCATTCTAAAAAACCTCAAACCTCTCTGGCTATCGCATGACATAAAACCGAAGAGTCTTATTTTCTTCTGCAATACTGGTTAGCCACAATATAAACTGGACAATAGTTCTAAATGGCCCGAGAATGATACCTTTGATTTTTCTATCCTGCAGGATCTAGATGACTTCTGTCATAAAATGAGAAAATGGTCTGAAATTCCCTACATCCAGGCATTTTTTTACACTTCAAACCCTCCCTACTCTCTGCTCTCAATGCAACCCGTCCCAAATTTTCCTTCTCTCCCTTCTATCCGCCCCTCCTGCCTCTGCCAGTTAACTCAGAATCCTTCTTGTCCCTCAACTCATCTGACCTTTCTCCTCCCCGCCTGTCTAATCCAGACCTTAATCCAGGCCCTAATCTCTCCCCAGAGCTTCCTTCCTCTTCCTCTTCCTCGGCCCAAAACCCACTTCCTTATGCTCCTGCTGTCACTTCCCCACCTCATACTCCATCTTGCTTGCAGTTTAGTTCTGCAGCTAATTCCTCCACTCCGCCCATCAATTCTCACTTCAATGAGTCTCATCGTACTCAGGAAGCTAAGGTGGCTGAATCCAAAGGCATAGTAAGTGTGCACATTCCTTTCTCTTTATCCATCCTTTCCCAAATCAGCCAACGGTTAGGCTCCTTTTCATCAGGTTGTCCAAATACTTAACCCAGTCCTATAATCTCACCTGAAGTGACCTAAATGTCATCCTTACTTCTCTACTCTCCCCCCTGAAGAATGTTTAACATGCATTTTATCATCCAATCAGCCCCTGACATTAAATAAGCTACAGAAATTAAAATATGACCCTCAAACCCCACAACAGGAAGTAATCAATCTCGCCTTCATGGTTCTCAATAAGGAATAAGTTGACCGGTGGCAGCATATCTCAGAACTACAGATGCTTGCCTCTGCCTTAAGACAAACCTCAGCCTTACCACTGCCTCACAAAGACTTCAAAGCGACCAGACTGCAGTGTCCAGCCACCCCTCCCGGACCTTGCTTCAAGTGTCGGAAACCTGGCCACTGGGCCAAGGAATGCCCGCAGCCTGGGATTCCTCCTAAGCCTTGCCCCATCTGTGCAGGCCCCCCACTGGAAGTTGGACTGTCCAACTCACGTTGCTGCTCCCACAGCTCCTGGAACTCCAATGCAAAGCTCCTGGACTGAATCTTTCCCAGATCTCCTCGGCTTGGCAGCTGAAGACTAACACTGCCTGAACATCTCGGAGGCCCCCTGGACCATCATGGATGCTGAGCTTCGGTTAACTCTTATGGTAGAGGGTAAGTCCGGCCGTCCTCTTCTTAATCAATGTGGGAGCCACCTGCTCCACGCTGTCTTCTTTTCAAGGACATGTCTCCTTGGCCTACTTAACTATTGTGGGAATTGACAGCAAGGTTTCCAGGCCTCTCAAAACTCCTCAAGTCTGGTGTCAATTAGGCCAGTACTCCTTTCCACATGCTTTCCTAATCGTCCCGACTTGTCCAGTTCCCCCGTTAGGCCAAAATATCCTAGCAAAATTGTCTGCCTCCTTAACTATTCCTGAGCTACAGCCGCACCTCATTGCCGCCCTCCTCCCTGATCCCATACCTCCCTCAATAGCTCCCCTGCTTGTGTCCCCTTATTCATGGGTGCAGGACACCACCTCCCATCCCTTGCTAGAAGTCACTCACCCCTCATCATCCACTTAAAACCTAACCACCGTTATTCCACCCAGCACCAGTACCCCATCTTACAACAGGCTTTAAAAGGCCTAAAGCCTGTTATCATCTGTCTTTTACAACATGACCTTTTAATTCCTACAAACTATCCTTACAATTTCCCTATTCCACCTGTACAAAAACCAGACAAATCCTACAGATTAGCCCAAGCCCTCCATCTCCTTCATCAGATTGTGCTTCCCATCCACCCAGTTGTATCAAACCCCTATACCCTCCTATTTTCCATACCCACTTCCACAACTCACTATTCTTGACCTGAAAGATGCCCTTTTTACCATTCTCTTATACCCCTCATCTCAGCCTCTTTTCACCTTTATTTGGACTGACCCCGACATCCACCAGTCCCAGCAGTTAACTTGGACTGTTCTTCCCCAAAGTTTCCAAGATAGCCCTCATAACTTTAGTCAAATCCTTTCTCAAAACACTTTTGCTTCTGGATACCAGGTTTTGCCCTACTAGCCAAACCACTTTATAAACTTACAAAAGGGAACTTAGCTGAGCCCATAGACCCTAAATCCTTCCCCCATTCTTTCCTTTCGTTTGTTAAAAAAAGGCCCTGGAAATGGTCCCTCCACTAGCACTCCCCAATGCCTCCCAACCCTTTTCCCTTTGCACAGCAGAAGTAAAAGGCTGCGCAGCAGGGGTTCTTACACAAAAGCCAGGCTCTCAACCAGTCGCCTTCTTGTCCTCACAGTCCTAGGCTGGCTGTCATGTTTACACACAACAGCTGTAATACTCCCAGAGTACCTTAAAAGTACAGGTTACCCCCCACTTACTCTCTGTACCTCTCACAACCTCCAAAATTTAGTTACCTTTTCACACCTCACATACTTACTTTCAGCCCCTCGCCTTCTCCAGCTTTATGCACTCTTTATTGAAACCCCCACGGTAACCATTGCTCTCACACCTGATTTCAACCAAGCCTCTCACTTAATACCTAACACAAACCCTAAACCCCATGACTGCATCTCCCTAATCCATATAGAATCCTCCCCATTTCCCCATATTTCT